TTACCCGGTGCCTTCTTTTTGCCCCCTGTGTATTTAAAAAAGGACTTCTTGTTCTCCTTGATCCGGGAAGCTAGTCCCAGTCCCATCTCTGCCTTGGCCTTCCTGACCCCCCCTGCAGCCCCGATCAACCGCAGTGTAGTCCTCCCTGGGGATGGCCCCCCCTGCCATTGGGTGTGCGCCTCCCTTTTAGCTAGGAGACGTTCCCAGATGCTTTTGGTGAGCCATGGGGGCTTTTGTGCCCTCCTGCCCCCTTTGATCAGACCTGTCTAGACCAGCGGGGACCAACGTTTTTGGCTGGTGTGCCGTGAATTAACCCCATACGCTCCCCAAGAGCCACTTCAGTTCCCCTGCCCCACCTGCTGCTCTGGCTTCTGCCGCTGCCCTGTCTGCTGCTGTGCTGTCTGCTCCCTCCCCGGTCTGCCCCTGCTCTCGAACCATCTCAGCCAAGCATCCATCTTCCCTTGTCCTTAAACACTTTGTTAGCATCCCTCTAGACAAAACCCCGGGCATAGCACCTGAAACATCAAAAATGCCCTTGAACTTCTCACGGGTAAAGCAGGGGCATTGCCTATGTGCTGCCACTGCAAGCTTATAAGTGCATCCTTGTAATTCAATGGTGGCAATTTAATCTTCAAATTCCTGTCGGTTGTTTCCATCAGCATGGCCCACACATACAAATGAGGCAGCCCCTGAGAGAGCCAGAGAGAGAAAGGACCATCCGGGGTGGAAGTACGAGCTTAAGACTTAGGGAATCTGGGTTAATCGGACTCCTAGAGCCACGGGGCTGGAAGGGACCCCCATCTAGTCCAACCCCCTGCCTGAGCCAGGATCAGCCCTGTGCAAACCAGCTCAGACAGATCCTTCTAAACTTTGTAAAACTATGGTCAACTGATGCAATGCAAGCTGCGGCACCCCACCCTGGTACAGGGAAAGCAGAGGGATCATGGCAGCCCATGAGCTGCTGCTTCAAACGTTAATATACACTCAAGCAATCCCATAGAGGCCATGCCCCTGCTACAGAGAAAGGCAGCCCTCCTCCCCCAGTCTGTACCAGTCTGATCATGGCATAAAACTCTTTCCTGACCCCCAAATGTGGTGTCATCCCTCTCCAGCCTTGGGGGAGCAGCGCATGCTATAATCCACGTTGATTTACCCACAACAACACAAAATGGAAGAAAAGACTGGAGCTAACGGGGCAGCACCCCAGAGGGGCTAGAAACCCAGCTGAGCAGCACCAGTGGAGGGTCGGGCTTCATGTCAGTCCAGAAAGGGCTTTCCTCTCCTTTGCACTAAGCCCCTGGCTGCAGACCTGCCCTTTTCCCAGTCCTGTATATGCGACATGCTCTTACCTGACTCCACACAGCGCGTCCAGATGCCTGGCCAGGCGTGGGAACTGAAAGGGGGCAAACGAGTTTCCATTAGGACCCAACCGTGCAGCACCCTGTTCTCCCCAAGGGTTGGGCCAGCGAACCCTAAATGTAGTCACTTGGTTTAGGGCAGTGAACTTACACTGCTGGCACTTCAAAGACGTGGCTAAGCCTAGCTCTACTGGATATAAGCCTTGATCCAAACCCAGTGAGTCACGGTTTCGGTGGGCTTCGGATCCATCCTCAGCTCCTTTTAGTCTGGAAGATCCCCAAGCTCTTCACTAACAAAACGCACTTCCGGGGTGGAAGACGACATCCAGAAATGCACGATAGGGCGTGCTGAAGGGGTTCACCCAGGCCAGAGCATACCAGCATTGCTCCTACAAAGAGGTCCCGTGTGCGTGCACTGTGTTGGTGCTGCACACGTGAGGATGGACTCGCCTCCACCATGCCTCATGCCAGCGCTTCCCTGTCTTACAGGCCTAGAAGATACGTGGTTGGGCTCACAGGGACAATGCTACTTTGGGCCAAGGGTCAAGGAGTAAGTCACTGGGGCAGATTTGCAGCTGCAGTGTTTGAAGGCCAGAAGGCACCGCTAGGCCACGGGGCCTGACCTTTGGCATAAACACCACCGGGGTCCTCCCGTATTAAACTCAGCAAGTTGACTCAACTACACCTTCACAAAAGCCTCCAGTCTTGACTCAAGGGCTTGAAAGGAGGAGAATCCACCACTTGCTAGCTTAGTTCATCTTCACTTTCCATTGACATTCAAGCCAGGTGGGATGTACTTCTAGCACCTGCCTTCTCTCCATACTCTCTAAACCTGGTCACCTCTGAAGTCACCTGCTTTTTCATAAACATGAGACGCTCCTTAAGCCTCTGGGTTTTTTCAGGCCTCAAGTAATCTTTGCTACAGCCCCCCTTGAGTCGGCCAGTGAAAGCTGGAGATGAATGTATATGGGAAGGTGGGATGGAGAGACGCTGGGCAGTGTATTCCTTGGTGTCACCGTTGCTTGTGTCCAGCCTCCCATCAAAGCCTCTCTTGGGCTCACCACCGAGGTGCAAACTCATCCAAAAGTCAGGGAACTGCAACACCACCCACCCGCTGCGAATACAAGAGGGACTGACCAGAGGCCTAACCAACAGCGCCAGTATTTTCTTCACCAAAATTGGAATCCGATAGCAATTCACCTGGGGCTTCAAGCCTGGGTCCACAAGGTCTTGTGCACTGGAAAAGAGGGGACGGAGAGGAGACAACATGTGTTTTGCACCCAGTCACTCACTATTTTTTGCTGTCTTAGTGGCTGGAAGCAAACTCTCCCGGCGATGAACTCTGCCCATCATTTTACGGCAACAGAGAGGGCAGGGAGCTGCTGGATGCTGCAGGACGCCCGGGCCTGACTCTGCTCTAGTTCATGTGGTGCTAAGCCGGGAGTGATGCCAACGTAACGGGGGTGAGAGGAGAATCCAATACAGAGGATGCGATTTGCCAGCGGAAATCTATTGTCTTGGGGGCGCTCCATTGGGTTTGGGCGGCAGTGAACACAAGCAGGATTCGACCTTCTGTTCAAATCCTCGTAGGCACCGAGGGAGGAAGAAATCCAGCCCCAAACCTCTTGATTTCAGTCATAGCCTGGGAGCTTCAGGATCGGCATCTGTCTGCTGTCGGGTGTCCACCTCTACGGGGGTTGCTGGGGGGTCTCTGGAGCAGGGCACGCTGCAAGGAGCTCACCGGTGTGCAACGGGGTGCAATTAAAGCATGCGTGGCTTCACCCTCTGCACAGCGTGGCTGGCTCCTCACGAGCTGTCCTGTGGCTGCTGGGAGCCGATATGGGACAGCCTTGGCAAGCACAGAGAGGCAGGGAGCATTTCTTGCTCCATCTGCTATCACTTGTAAGGTTCCTGCACGCACCAGATTTAGCCAGGCCTTTTTTCTGATGCCGGCCACAGCATATCACGGGCAATACTCCGCTGCCTGTTTTGCCCAGCTCCACTGCAGTTACTATTTAAGTCAAGGGAGGAACTCTAGTGCCGCTGGCTTCTGGCCCAGAGGCAGAGCATCAACCTCCAGCCATTGCACGTCCTAACTGAAAGCTGAGCGAGGCTGTTTTCTAGCCCAGCGGGATCCCGCCTTGCTGCCCCGTAGCAGCACCCTTCATCAGCTGCCCTGCCTGCTACCCCTAGCGCTGCCAGCATGGAGATGAACGCCGGAGCATTCGTACTCACAACAGGTCCACGAACGTGGAGCCCCCGTCGGCAAAAGCGCCTCTCATGAAGAGTTCGTTGACCACGTAGTCGACTCGCGGGGGAGCGAAGGGCACTAGCTGCACCGAAGCAGAAGGTGAGTCCATAGGCAAGCAGGACACCATCAGGCCCCCTGGTATCCCGCGACAGGGAAGGAGTTGGCTGCCACTTCTCCGCTAAAGGGCATCTTTCCCTATGCACTAGCAAACCAGTTATGGGTCTGTAACTATGGGTCAGGTCCTTCCTCCCACCCCCACTTCCACTTCCCCTCTGCCAGCCTTTGCTGCGTGGTTCCTTGCACCGTAAAGACGATGCAGCCTTGCAGGACGGCTGCTGCGGGTGACGGGAGACACAGCCTCGGAGCAAGAGGTGGGGACAGCGGGGCTCACCATGTGCCCGGCCTCCTGCAAAAGGTCCCTGGTCTCCCGCACGGCCCGTCTCATGCAAGGGGGCAGCAGGAAGTAGCCGTCGGTCTCGTAGTACCCGATCCGAAGCGGGGTGGAAGCGCAGAAGAGCTTGGAGCAAAGGGGATTGATGGTTAAGGTGGATGAAGCCAAGACTGTAGTTTGGGGCTGGGAGGCCCTTCCCCAGGCCTGGGCAATCGGTGTTCCTGGCCCCCGAAGTGCCGTCAGACACCGCCTGTGCCCCGGGGCTCAGGAGATGTTAGGAAGGGGGTTGGTTCAGCGGCCACTGCAAGCCTGATGGCACTTGCTACGATTATGGCAGGGGTGGCCGTCCTGGAGCACGCGTGCTACAAACGGCACCGGCACGGGCAGCCTCTGTGCGTGGCACATGGCAGAGCGGGGAGGGAACCAGGAATACAGTGACAGATAGGGCAAGGAGCAGTAAGCAGAGCAGAAGATCGAATGGGAAGTGCAGGGTAGGGGGCAGAAAGCAAAGCAGCAGGTTCAAGCTCTGGCCTCGCGCCCAGGGCTGTTGTCCGCCGTGGCATGTGGGTGCTGGTCCCTCAGGCTGAGGCGGAGCTGGTGGGCATGCGGCCCCGCCATGCACACGCATGGGCACATGCACATCCCTGTGTGCTGCTGGGGCCAGAAGCTGCTGGGCCTGAAGCTCTGGGCGCAGGTGGGCCCGTGCCCCTCGTTGCATGGGGCAGGCGCTGGGGGCCTCGGGCATGGTACAGCCCCCTTCCCTCTCCTCCTGCCGCTGCCCAGCCTCTCCCCACCTGGGCCACCGACTGTCCGCACATGGGAAACTACCCTCTTCAGTCCATTCCCCTCCCCTCCCCTCCCCTTCTCCACTTCCTTCCTGGCAGGAAAGGCTTTTCCAGCTAGGAAGGGAGGCTAAACCAGGGCCACGTGGGCAAAAAATGCTGGAAATTATCTTGCAGACGCTGATCTCTGAAAGCGGCATTTTTTGGCTTTCTGTCTGCACTCGTGGCGTCCCCCTCCCTGCAGGGACGTACTGCATCTCTCTTGCACCATCTCCTAGCTGGAAAGGGCTTGCCCCGTACTACCAGGTCCCCTTTGGATGCATGGCAGAGCAAGCTGCGATCTCGCTGGCGTGAGACGCTAGCCTGGTGTCCGCCCGGGAAGCTGCTGCTCGCGGTCGCCATCTCAACGTCACCGGGCTGGCGCGCTCCTGGGCGCCTTACCTTCTCGTTGAAGGGGATGGGCGGCACGGTGGGGTCCAGCTGGAACAGGGCATCCCCCAGCAGCGCCCTCATGCACAGAGCCAGGCTGTCCACGTCCCGCGCCATGGGCCCGATCGCTCCCGTCACTGCAAGGAGGGAAGGACGCACATGGCACTGAAATGAAGGCGGCTGGAGGTCAGCCAGGAACGAAGGGAAAAGGACCGGGATGATGAGCGAGCGGCTGGACCCAGCCCGGCAGAAGATCCTGGAGGAAACCGTCCACCAAGGAGGGGCTCATCGAGCTCCTCTCAGCCCTTGTCCGATCAAACGCTGGGATCCCAGTGTAGGATTTGAACCAGTTTTTGCTCAGGCCTAAATTCTCACTCAACCGGGCTCCCCGGGGAGTCATAAAAAGCAAATCCCAGTGTCTGCGACGCCCCATGTCGCCTCCCCAGATGAGCCCGACCAGCCCTTCCCTGCCCCCCAGCCAAGGAGTGTGCAGCAGGGGCAGGGGGGAAGAGGACGGCAAGGGGCATTTTCACCTGCTTCAGGGCATTAAAAACCTCCCCAGAGATTCCCACAGGTGGTCTGCTTGGAGGAGGCTGGGAGCAGGGAGTGCAGCCACCTGTGCAGCATAGGTTGCCACTCCTGCACCCCACTTCGGGCAATTCTGGGGCCACCCCTATCCTCATCCCTGGTTTTAAAGGAAAAATTACTGAGCGGGGTCGTACCTGATAGAAGCCCTGGGACCGGGACCGTCACTCCGGAGAGGCTGCAGAAGAGGGGCACAAAGCAGAAAGTGGGTGCGTGGGGAGCCAGGCTCCTTCATTATTTTGTAGGGCACCGCTTGTGTTGTGATCACCACCCCCGGACCCCACAGAGCACCGGCCGTGGAGCCCCCGTTACCGCATCCCGCTGGCAGCTATAGGAGGAGGCTACAGCTTACAGCGGGGTGAGGGGCTACAGCATCTAAGCTGGCAGGTTTTGCAGGGATGGATGAACTGGCCCAACTCTTTCCCGCATCTTTTCAATGAGACGTCAGAGGATAAGGGGGCGAAGTGGGCAGCAAGGACTTTGGAGGGCTCCCACCAGCTTGGTGGGAAATCAGTGGATTTGCAGGTGGTTTCTGAGGGTCGTGAGACCCGGACACCTTGCAGCTGGAGTGGAGGATGCGGGGCGCCGAGAGCGCTGGTCCCGAGGACATCGTCGACTATGTCACGCCCCGCGTGGGAGCAGTGAATGTGAAGCTGCCCGGCCCCGGTGACCCATCAAAGGTCACCTGCAGCCTGCTGGGACCGGAGCTCGGCACCTACCTGAGCCTCTTGCCCGTGGGTTTGAGGCCGCAGAGGCCGCAGAAGCTGGACGGCAGGCGGATGCTGCCTCCTAGGTCGGACCCAAAGCCCAGGATGGACCCCCCTGCGGCGATCAGCGCTCCCTCCCCTCCGGAGGAGCCCCCGGGGCTCTTGCGATGGTCCCAGGGATTCAGTGTCTGGCCGAAGATTGCATTGCTGCAGTCGTAGCTGGGAGAGAGGAGCCAGAGTCAGCCCGACGCTGGAAAGGCCCCGGCTTCTCCCCTAGCCCCGAGGAACCTGCCATTTCCCCAGGGGCACAGCCCCTCACCCCCAGATATGCCAACATCCCTATGAGACCCACACCTCTGTTGGGGCGCTGAAGCAGAAAGAGACATGGAAGAGGCCCAGGAAACGGTGGCAGAGCGGGGAATGCAACCCAGGCCTGTCCCCCACCACTGAAAATACTTAGCGTCACCCTGCCCTACGTGCAGGGAGATGGCAGCGCTTTTGTCCCCGGGGTCTCTGCAGAGTCCCAGAGAGGACGCAGCGCTCTCTCCTCTCCCTCTTTCTCCCCCGTCTTGCCATTTCCCTTCGCTTCAAACAAAGCCCAGTGTCAACTGAACGGAGACGGAGGATATCAATCCTTGCTGGGTATATAAACACTCGTCAGCTCATGAACGAGTGAATCATTCAGGACACAAGCTCAAGGAGCAGGAGGCAGAGTCAATCATTGAACTCCCACGATAGCGGGTTTACCCAAATCCTATGTCCTTAGACCGACGCGGCTACAACCAACACCCTGAAACGGGATTCATCCGGGCACAGGACTGTGAGCTGCAGGGCATGGGTAAGGGAGAACATGCAACGACGTATTACTTGAACAGGGACTGCGGGACGTTGGTGATCGCGAAGGGAACGGCCCCCTGACACTTTAAGACCTGGACTAACACGCTGTTCTCCTGCTCCGGCGGGCCGAGGAACGGGGTGAAACCGCAGGTGGAGAGGTGACCCTTTGGGGAGGAGAAACGACACTCGTTAGGGTTGCTGCATCTCCAGCCAGCTGCAGACCGGGGCTTCCTCTCATCATGGGGGGATAGAAACCCAAGAGCCCCTGGAAGAGATCGTGTGGCTGTTGAGCTCGCTGGAGCCCTGTCCTGCTGAAGCCTCTCCGTGCTCCTCTGCTTTGTGCCTAACCCCTGCTTGGGGGTAAGCAAGGGGTGGGCAGTGCTGCAGCTGGCTCCACACCTGGCTCCGTTGCCCACGTAGCGAGCCGCTTCTCAGGGGCAAAGGACGCACCTTGTAGCCGATGTGGTCCTTGATGCTGACGGGGACGCCGTGCAGCAAGCCCTTCTCCTTCTGCCCCTGCAGCTCCTGCAGCTGCTCCTCGCACTCGGGGATGACATGGCGCAGGCAGTTCAGCTCCCGGGTCACCGCCAAGGCCTTCCCGGGGACGCGGGGGGAGAAGCGTTCGTTCGTGAGAGTCAGAGTAGAGGCCCAGCAGACACGTGCACCGCACGCATACACATGTGCGTGCACATATGCAAGCACCATGAGCGCGTGCACTGTGTCCACACACATGCGTGCGCACACACATGCACCAGATGCGCACACAAACCACACACACATGCAGTATACGCACATGCACACACACGTGCACCAGACACGCATGCAAACCGCACACACACCATGCACACATGCACTATGCACACATGCACACACAGGTGCACCAGATGTGCACACAAACCACACACGCACTATACCCACATGTACATACACGTGTGCACTGCACGTACCCATATGCACCATGCATACACACGTGCACCATGTACACATGGCCCACATACACATGCACACAAATCACACACACACACCATGTGCACATGCACACATGCGCTATGTGCACACATGCACCCACACACATGCCACATGCACACACACAGCACGTGCGCACATGCACACACACACACTACATGCACTTGCAAACATACCACACACAAAGCACACCCCTTTTACACACACACGTATTCACACACAAGACGCACATTCACACACGCACATGCAAAACACACATACACAGAGTCAAACACAGTAACTTCCCACAAAACCTCACAGTGTAGCTAGAACAAGCAAGCCAAATGGGTGGGGAATGGGAAGGTTTAGTATCCCCATTTCACAGAAGGAAAAACCGAGGCAGAAAAGGCAGACAGTGGCTTGCCCAGCACATGGAGTAAAACACATGTCCCCTGAGTCCCTGCACAGAGCCTGGGTGTGAGCCCTGGCTTCATGCTGGCTGATACCACACCAATACATTTGCAGCCATTCAGACCCACTTTGGATCTGCTCTTTAGCTAGGCCGGCTTGTCTTTTCCCTTGGTGGGATGAACACCCTCCTCCAACCCCTCTGCCCGCCCACCCCCGGGCACCCGAGGCAACAACAGACTGGGTATACCCTGCTGCACCTCACTGGGGATCACCTCTCCGGTATTCAGGTGGAGGGGAGCAGCAAGAAACCAGAAGACTGGGTTTAGGGAAGGAGGAACATCAGGTGTCTCCCTGAGCCTCCAGGTACTTGCTGCTATCCCTGACCTTTGTAGGGGGGCGGCAGTGTGAGACAGGGGCTAGCAAGTTGTCCTGGAGCCTTGGGCAGTCACTTCCATGCTCCGTGCCTCAGTTTCCCCTTCCACCCTCAGTCATTTTAGGTAGTACTTGGGGAGAGACTGGATTTCAGTAGGTGCATGATGGTGCCTAATTCCCTGGGGCTTCAACACGTGCGCACACACACACACTACCTCGAACAAGAGCTCCACCTCGATTCCTGTTCCACCAAAAGTCCTTTTTCAGTAATCCCTCTTTACCAGTCCCAGAAGCTTAATCCACGAGCAATCGAATAGCAGGTTTATACAGTGCCCTTCACCCCCGGGATCTTCCCATGACCAAGGAGCCCATCACCGTGGCATCTGAGAGCACTTTGGAAATGCCGAACTTGTGCAAGGCCCCCAGGAAGGCAGAGAAGGGGAAGCGAGAATTTAAGCATTTCGCATCGAATGTTTTCTGACGGCAGCAGCTCACCTTGTCCATGTAGGTGTAGAGGACGCTCTCCGCGGACAGGGAGCCCTCCTTCAGCTTCTCAGCCAGCTCCACCAGTGGCAGGGAGAGGATGTGACTGGGATCGGCCCCTGGGCTCTGCACGTGTGACGCGGGTCAGATAGAGGTTCCCCCCGCCACCCCACACGCCCCGTCTCACCCCATAGCAGCGGGTTCGGGCTGTCAGCGCACAAGCTACGAAGTCTACAAACCCGGTGGCCCTAAGCAGTTCACAGCCCCATGCCTGCAACCTCGACCCGTGAAAGCTGCCGTCTCCACGCACGTTTCCGGGCACCCGCAATCCCTCTCCCTATGGGGAAACGTTACCTGCTGCTTGAACCGCTGAACGGCCTTCGCCATGCGCTGCAGGCCTAGGTCCCGCATCCTCCTGGCCTCTTCCATCTTCTTCTGGGTCCGTCTCCTCTGCATCCAGTTCAGCGCTGCGACAGCTGCTGCCGAGGCGCAGAGCAGGGCGGAGACGGTGCGGGGATCAAGCTCCAACTCGGGCAGCAGGTGCCCGAGCGTCTCCTGGATCATGGTGAGACCCACTCAGCTGTGGGGCAGCTGCGACAGCTCGCAGGACACAGCACCGGGAGGAAGACAGAGGCTGGGTTGTTTCACTCCACCCCTCGCCACCAGCCCGGAGCAGCTGGGCATGAAGCCCATTTCTCAGGTCTTGGATGATGCCCTGCAAGAGGCAGGACTCTTTTTTTTGCCCATCTGTGAGAAACTCGAAGATGGTCCAAAGGTTGCAGGTTGGTGGGGAAATGATTGACTGGGAAATGGAGCCTTTGGCCGAAACCCTCCCCTGGGCCAAGTTCAAGGACCCTGAGGGCTGAGAAGGGGGTGTCGAGGCTTTGGGCTGGGGGCAGCCGGGGCTGTTGAGGTGGAGGAGTGAGGCTGTGGGATCTGCACTCTCCTCCTCTCATAGTCTTGGACAGACG